AGCTTGTCGAACGCCTGCAAAAGAAAGCCCAATAAGAAAGGAAAGGCACGAAGCTCGAAAAACCTATGTCGAAACTCACTGCAAAGTGAAGCCGCTGGGCCTCCTCGAAGGCCGAACACATACCTGCCAATCCAGTCCCTTCGGCCCTGAAAGAGCCTACTCCGGTCGAAGCACGGTCGCTCGGTGTATGCGACCCCGGTTTCCAGTATCTCCCAAAATGCTATCAACGGAAAAGGAATGTGACAACAACGAAGAAACCCTCCTTCCAGAACCGGGAGGCGCACACGACAGGCTTGGATGATGCTTCCGCTCTGAAGCCCCGGTCTCGCTCTGCCTTACTTTGAACGCCATCGCCCTGTGAAAGCACCTCTCGTTCATTGATACCGTTCTTCAGCCCGAAAGTTGGCAACCCTTCCCCCTCTCCGAAAGAGCACGGCCTCGCCTCGAAAGGCTCTCCAATGCCTAAAACAATAAGATTAATACGCGTAAGGGGGATATGCTTCTCTACATGAAAGAAGGGAAATGAAAGAATAGCACAGCACTCACCATGGTATTTTGCTTCCCATCTGCCCCGGGACAAGGTTCGCCACTTGCGCTCCTCACAGTCGAGTGGGTCACCAATTCTCGGACTCAATCCGGTAGATCAGGAACGTCGCCCGGCGCCCATGAAATCACTGCGGGAAAAGAAAAGAAAAGAAGGCACAGTTACAAAACCGGGCTTTCGTCATAGACAGAACTAAGAAAGCACGAGATACACCACTTACGAGTATAATTCCATTCCTCAGGGAATGGCATGATCTCCACGGGGATAATGTCAGCGGTCTGCACTCGGACGAAACGACTCATCCATCCCCGATCTCTATCTTCCTCGTCATCAATGATGAAGGGCGTGGTCGAGCGACATCGCAAGGTTAGCAGACCTCGATGGTGAAAGGGCTGGTACAGCCTAATAAAATGACTGAGCGAAAATTCAAGCCCCGCTTTCTCCGCGAAAAATCTCACCATCAACCCCGTTCGCCAAAACGACGGATAGACCTGCGCCAGTAACCCGATACTCTAAGCAGAAGTCAAGCACAACCCTATCAAGGGGTCCCAGCATGAAAGGATACGTGTACACATTCAAGAACCCATCGGCATGATCCTTGATGCCCTCACCCGGGGAAAATGCCTGTAACATCACTTTCTCCCCTCATCCGCAGTCTTTTTTCGCTAATTCAAAATGCTCTTCTCCTATCAATGAAGTGGTCTTCAAGGCGTACTCTCATTAGTCCTGAAGGCTGGAGGCAGAGCTCTCCCCTCCCTGTCGGGCAGACCCCAACATAGAGAACGTGGCGGTGACAAAATTAGAGAACTAAAAAGCAGGAATATGTATAGACGCATTAGTGCTGAAGTACCGAAAGGCTGGCATAGAAAAAGAAGGGCATCTGCTTAAAGTGGTGGGATCCCCTAAAAAGCAAAAAACGTCCATGTATATATATATGGAAAAAATGGCTACGATTCGCTTGCCTCAAAACCAGCTAAAAGCACCATCGCTAGTCCCGAGGTGGTACCCGACCACGATGACCTCCATCAGGACAAGGCTAGGCTCCAGGAAGCCGATGACGCCGTCGCTAGCCCCGAGGTGGTACCCGACCTCGAGGATCTCCATCAAAAAGAAATTAGGCTCTGAAAGGCCAACAACATCATCGCTAGTTCCGAGATGGTACCCGACCTCGAGGACCCCCTTCAAACAGAAGTTAGGATTTAAGGAGCCAACAACATCATCGCCAGTCCCGAAGTGGTACCCGACCTCGAGGATCTCCATCAAAGGAAAGTTAAGCTCCAGAGAGTCGACAACATCGCCAGTCCCAAGGTGGTACCCAACCTCGAGGACCTCCATCAGAACAAGGTTAGGCTCCAAGAAGCCAGTAACACCTTCTCCAGCCCCGAGGTGGTACCTGACCTCGAGGACTTCCATCGGAACAAGGTTAGGCTCCAGAAAGCCAATAATACCTTCTCCAGTCTCGAGGTGGTACCCGACCTCGAGGATCTCCATCGGAACAAGGTTAGGCTCTAGAAAGCTAGTAACACCTTCTCCAGTCCCGAGGTGGTACCCGACCTCGAGGATCTCCATCGGAACAAGGTTAGGCTCTAGAAAGCTAGTAACACCTTCTCCAGTCCCGAGGTGGTACCCGACCTTGAGGATCTCCATCAGAACAAGGTTAGGCTCTAAGAAGCCAGTAACACCTTCTCTAGTCCCGAGGTGGTACCCGACCTCGAGGATCTCCATCAAAGGGAATCAGGCTCTAGGGAATAAGCATTTAAACTCCACCCATATGGGCTTGGTCCCCAGGTACCATCTGAGATTGGACAAACCCTCTTTCAAGATCTATCTACAACGCCTTAAGGCTATTTACACTAAGCCCAAAGCGAGTTTCCAGGTGGTCCGAATTTGAACGAACCTCCGCTCGGGGACTACCCTCGAGAGATCAAAGGCAGTCCTTGTCCACAGGCCTCCGGGCAAATTTCTTCTCAAAGGTTACCACGGATCCTAAGTGATAAATCACGGTTTCAAGGTCCAAAGTGTTACTTTCATTCGACTCGAAGTAAAGGTCCCGACGACCGAGTTCATCGGCCGATCCAGGCTCGATCCAAGGAACGGCGGAGGACTCCATGAGAAGCCATACTAATCAATCAAAAATTAGGAAGAAACACTCACATTTGGGCTCGATATTGGCACCGACCGGTAGAGTCATGCATTCAGAGTCTCTACAAATGTAAAAGAATATAGAAAGCATCAAAGACAAAGTTGAGGAAACATCTTTATATTCATAAACATTTGATTACGATCGCCCGCGAGGGGTATTTACATATGATTACTAAAGCCCAGGAGGGGTCCCTACACAGAAACAAAGAAGCAAAAAAGGTACATATGCAAGAGAAGCCTAGAGTCTAATCAATTCTCAAGCATCATCCCCTCGGGTATGCGTCCTAAGCGGCAATATCTTCTACCACCACTGCCTCGGGGGGCCCGTCTCAATCTTCCAAAGCAGTGTCTTCGATGGAGAGGATAAAGAGGAGGAAAGTGGAGAAGCAGGAGGGGATGAAAAAACGCCATAGCCCGCCAAAGGACGAGGACCCTCGTCGGCCAAGAGAACCTCAGACCGGTAAGAGACTTGGCGAACGTCGGCCTTACTTGCACGGCTACTTTGAGTCCATTTCTTGGGACATCGAGTCATGCAAGCTACCGGTCGGGGGCGAAGTGCCACACCGAACCGGGGTATAAAGGTGAGCAGCAGTGTATAATCCGAGCACCCTCGTGAGCAGAGGTGTATAGTCCAAATACCTTCCCAAGACGGAAGAAATCAGCCTCCTTATCTCATCATCTCGAGCCAACGATGACAACAGTAACAACCATAACAACAACAACAACAACAACAACAGTGGCGACGAGACAGTATAGTCTCGCTTAACAAAGAAAAGCCCAGGCAAAAGGCCGTGGACCCCAAACATGGTAGGTAGCAATGGAGAAGGATAATGAAAAGAAAGGGATGGAAAGATGTTGGAAAGCACTTGGATAAAAAGATAATACCGGAAGGCCCCATTTATAAGGGGTGGTAGCATGGCCAACAACGCCATCAATGCCTTAGGCATGCGGATCGACAGGTGTAATCAATGTGTTATTAGAAGCCGGGTCGACAGCGGTACCGTCGCTTTGAAAAATGGGAATTGGCAGCACATTGAATAACACTGAAAGGACAAGTGCATGGGACGTCTCGGTAATCACGAAGGCTTGTGGCATCAGTGTGACGTCATCGCAGGAAGTCTGAAGAGTCGGATGTCAAAATCGTTTCTTGTTGCTCCTCTCTAAGAAATGCGGGGACTATTTGTATACGGCAAAATCAGAGGAACCAATTTCTCGTTGATAAGGCATCTCGGAAGATCACCTCGAAGGTTCGAGACCACGGACCGAGTACCCTCCCTCAAGGTCCATCGACGCTCGACCTAGGGATAACGTTGGCCACGACCCTGACAGATACAGGGAGTTCCCGAAGAGTGCAGCCAGGGCCGGCGAAATTTGTCAGGCTAGTCTGAAGCTAGTCTAAGCCTGCATCATGAAGTTAGCTAGCTGTCACATCTCCGTATCTTTGTAATTAATGCTTGTTGTACTATGTTGGGATTTCCCCTCCTATATAAAGGGGATTCTTGACACTTTGTAAGAGGTTGTTGCCTCATCTACCCCACACGAAATATACAAGAACTTTCTCTTTGCTCTTTGGCACATTCTTTCAATATTATTGCTTCCATTTAATGTCTTCAAACTTGTTCTTCACTTATTGTTTATTATTGGCCATAAAGAGCCTCTATTGATCTTAGTGTAGTTGTTAGCCCTGCTCCGATTATCCTCAATAGCTCGTAGCCGAGCCCCGGGATCGACCTCGAGGCCCAAAATCGACAAACCCGAGGTCCAGAGTAACTGGTCTATCAATTTGGTTATAGCTCCCTCCTTAACTTTATTTCGTCTCTAAATCTCATATACTTGACATCAACTGCTTAACAAACTAGCATAAAAATAAATCACGTATTTTTGGAGTCTCATCAACAAATTTAATTGTTATTATCATTTTCACGGTAAACAGATAAACTTTAAGCTAAGTCCAATTTTTTTATTCAAAAAAAAAACTAATTTATATTACCATTATAATCAGCTGATTAGCAGAATGGAGAATGAAGCTGTGAGGAATTGTCTGGCATAGTGATTGTGGAGAAAAAGTATTACGGGACTACATTCTATATTGCTCGAATTCTCCCAAAATGTTGCCGCACTCGTGTCGAATCCTCCAACAATGTACAACTTTTGAAGGATTTGACACATACCCGATAGCATGTTTTGAAGAATCCGAGCAACATAGCATGTACTCCAGTAATATGTTCCCACAGCGCGTCAAAAGGGGGACACTGCAGAAACTGTAACTCAAAACTACTGAATGCAGAGAATAATTAGATCTAACATTATAAAGTACTATTAACAATTCTCAAAACCCTGCACAACAAAGAACAAAAGTTGATATCATACATCACAAATGCTACTGATTGGTTGGCACTGGATAGGCAAATACTTACAAAACTGCAACAGATTGCCACACGTGATTCAGTAATAACAAGGAAGAGTCAAGTCTTACGTTTGTGCCCTCCAAAGTTAATCAGGTTGCTCGACTTTCCTCCGAGATAAATGATCTTGATCATAAGCATATGGAAACATTTAAGCATCACTTGATTGCCAGAAAGAAAAAACTTGGATAGTTTTCTCATCTTTCTAATAGTACAAACTCATGTTGAATTCAGTGTACAAATTAAGGGTCGAGCTCTCTTCCAATCCTAAAAGCCTAGTCTCTAACATATGATAATGCAGCGGCGGTAGTTCTCTGCATGTTGTCCAGTCAGCAAAAAGCCGGAGCATCTCCATTGTCTACAGATAATGTATATGTCATCTACTCCTAAAAAATGGTCGATGAACACATGCAAATACCTCAGACATTATCCATGAATCAACCTCCTGAACACAAGCTGTCCAGCTCCAATAAGTAAAATCAACCAGACATTATTCATGTAGTATCTGCATCATTTGCCAACTTCCATTCCTTTGACCGGCAAATGGAAAATAACTTTAGACACTGTCATCTGCCAGTTTAGGTATGTTAAAGTTGAGCAAAAAGAATTTCGTTCCATGTATCTGGAACACCAGGTAAGCACCAATGCAAACAATCCTGGACTCCAGGTGTTGCTTTGATGCTGTATCGAGATATATGACCCTCGTCTCTCAGCTGGGATAAAGCAGTGATATCTAAAAGCTTAACAGCTGTTCCTCTTACAGCTGCTGCTGCATCAGGGTCACTTGATTCATCTTGTAGAACTTCCTTCCCCTCGGAAAGTGGAGTAGTGTTATCACAGGTCCCACCAGTGTTCCATTCTCCATTAAAGAAATGTCTCGGCGATATAGACCGATAAAATGCTTTTAAACGAGGGTGTTTTGGCAGCTGTGAATTCATCCAATTGACTATACTGTGAATTGTAAAATTCTTGGCACCACCAATAGTTGCCATTTTCCTGTTCGTGTTAGGAACACCATTGACGTACATAACCCAACGGTTGGCTTTAAGCTTTCCTCTATTCCAGTGGTGTCCTGTGTTTAAGACAACAACATCAAACTTTGGAAGAAAATGACTCAAAAATGCTGGTGGACGGTCCAAGTGCATGGCGTAATCAGTAGCAGGGTCGGATGGATTTATGGGTGTCAAGTCACAGAGACTAGCAGACCAATAGTAAAGAATAGTTGTTTTGGTGTCTGGAAATCGATAAGCCCATCCATCAGGTCGAGCAGAACCACGAGATTGGACAAGACCATACTCATGCCCCACATCAAGAACATTGGGTCTATCTTTTCCACCAGTAATCATACACATAAGTGATTGAAATTGCTGTCTACCGAGCGAATCCCCAATAAAAGCCAGAGTCTTGTTTTGCATCCTGGATGCACCATCAAATTTAGTGAATCTCTTAAATGTGGAATACTAGAACCAAATAATTTTACTTGATGAATCAAGGAAGAGAGATGGTAATATTAAGCAACAAGAACCTAGACTCTGAAAGATGCTGCAACATATTTTTCATATTTTGAGTTTGTACGTGCAAGAGAGGGAGGGCAACAAGCCACAAGATACAAGATAGCTCTACTGTCACAGACTATTGCATTTCAGGAAGGACATACATTTTGAATATTTTGGTTCAATCAAGCGCCTATTCTTATTGGCCTCGAAAACAACCAGCCAAATGAAGGTGCACTACTTAAGTTATGCTAGGAACACAACAGCGAAAAGGTTTTCATCCAGTCAATAAAATGTAGTGTTTGAATGAAAATAACATGGATTCTGACCACATCTCAAACTTGATTCAAGGATCAGAATAATGACTTCATAAGATAAGTTATATTGTTACCTTTTTAGAAATTTAACTCCTGTAAACTCGTCCATCTGACAATCTTTTGGTCGCCAACGTAACTTCTCGTATTCAAAATCTGTACGTTGTGTCAAACGGCAAGCCCACATAGATGACAACCATTGCTTGCAGCCAAATCCAGAATATAACGGTCGGCTATCATCTACAACCCATCTGCCTTTAGCAAAGCGACAACCTGAAAATTTAGATAAGGTATTAGTATCTGATCACTTTCTACCTATTAAATAAAATCCACCAACCAATTTAAGGGCAGCTAAAACACGCCTTCTCTGATTAATAAAGACCCAAAAGAAGGACACCTCAAGAACTGGTACAAACTAAGAGAAATTCTCTCAGTTGCACAACGCTAATTATCATGTGATCAGAGAAAAGGAAAAAGAAAATCAATGACTAGATAAATAAGAATTAAAAAAAAAAAAAGATAGGTCACCTTGTCTTTTCAGGGTGGTTGTCAAATTTTTACTATGTTCACCCCCAGAACTCACAGGAGTGGAAACGTCAGTTTGCTGTTTTATTGAACCAATTTTCTTGTCTGAAACATCTTTTAGATCTCCCTTTTTAGTAAAGTTGGGAGCACCACCTGCACTGCCGGAAAACACAATTAAAGTATCAAATTGTAGAGACTAGAGATCAGTTAACTTTAGTAGTATCTCAGACTAAAACGAAAGAGTCCATTAAACTTTAGCACGTCAAGAGGACCCTGTGAAAGTAATTCATTACAATGTAATATGCCACTTTTGTAAACACAGATCAAGTTTGTGAGGTATGATTCAGTATAAAACAAGCTAGAGTATAAGTTACTTTTACTGTTACTATTCAGGGAAAGGGCACTTCTTCTTTTGTTTAAATTTGAAAGGATAAAAGGCATCCACATTTTCAGATAGAGAAATTAACAACGTTTTATAATGCCTCTAATTCGTCAAGATTTAGGTATTTGAGATGAGGAAATTTTGATGTCCTGAACAAGACTTACCTCCTATTTCTTCACGAGTACTCAATTCTTCAGACACCTTAATCACTGGTGAAGAGTTTGTATAAGTAGAATATTTTTCAGATTCAAAGTTAACACTTTCTTCTACTTGCCCCGATCCGCCTCCTTCTCCCAAAGCTTCTTTATCATGAGAAATCAATTCTTCAGTCACCTTAATCGCTGGTGAAGAGTTTGTATAAGTAGAATATTTCTCGGATACCAAGTTTACACTTTCTTCTGATTGGCCCAAACCGCTTCCTTCAACCAAAGCTTCTTCATCTTTCACTTTAAGATCTGCCAGAGAAAAGATTATAAATAAGTAATCCAAAAGGATCCTGCAACATTTCCACCAAGGAGTTCAGTCCTAAACTCCTAATTCAGAATAGTCCTTTCAAAAAGTAGTTGAAATACATGAACTTGACCATTCTCTTAGAAGATAAGAAAATTGAGAACAGAAAAAACTACAGTTTAGCAATTTGCAGCTAGATCAACAAGGTCAGCAGTGTGCCCACAACAAAATAATATCACTGTGGCAAAGATCCAGCCAAAACCCTTTGACAAAAAGGTGCATGTATTAGAGACTCCATGTCCGCCAAGTAAGCATGTTGACTTAAACTCACATTAAAAAAATTAGACGTCTTCACTCCAAGGAGTGTGACTTTCCCAGTTAGACAAGTTTTCTCCAGACACAGTCAAAGCTGGCTGATTCTATAGTACTGATGTTTTATGCAAGCTTTGACACATAAATGCATCTCAACTGAAGAAAGACCTATTGTACTCAAAAGATATATAAAATGGTTGAATCATTAATGAGGTCGCAAACAGCAGAGTTCCAAAGCTAAATACTACCATATTCTTTAAACTTGATGAAAATATTAGCTAACCCATAATGGAAAAATGAAAAGAAAAAAAAAACCAATGGTACGTTAGAGGGTTTATGCAAACCTGGAGAAAGCTGGAGCACATGGTTCTGAGGTAGTACTGGAGAAGAAAGAAATAGGCTTTTCACATATGCCAAAAGAAGAACAGTAGCACATACGAATCCAATAAGGATGAGAGAGATCTGTGACACCTTCAAACCTCCCTTCATCCTTGAAGATTAGGGATGTCTGGACTTGAACTCATTCCACCACAATGGACTTGTGTTTGCTTCAGATTAACATCTGTCAATTACTGAAAGGAAAATGTTAAGAGGCAAAAATAGGAAAAGTACTGTTTCTGGTGTAAAATGTGCAGTTACAGATTCACAGGCACAATTTTGAAGACTTTTGATATGGACCACAAAATGAGACACTTATAGATCGCAAAAAGCCACCTGTGGGAGAAGGTAATGGACAATGATACTCTATAAACTAATACACGCTCTCAATTCAGGAAGTAAGCATCTTTAAGACATGGCATTTAAATAGTACTCCATTTTTCTATCAAAAGCTGCTGCCTTCCTTACCTTCCTTCTCTAGGTTTGAGAATGATAAATGCCGCTCAACTACATGGAAATAATTTTTTTCAATTCTCATCGATCGAGTCCAATAACAAGGATGAATCAACAAATACTCTTCACTCAACAACTCTTCACTCATGGATGAGTTTCCTAGCCTATATCAGATTGCTCTACGCCAGAATTCCTCTATAGCTCAAAACAGAAATGCTAGCAACTGGGATGTTCACTTTAGAAGAGCAGTGCAAGACTGGGAAATTGATAGCCTATTTGATTTGCCAGCAAAAGTGGAGGAGCACAATATTGATGTGAGCCAACGAGATACCATATGCTGGGGAAGCAAGGGCACCTTCACAGTAAAAGAATGCTACAGGTAGACTGATTCCCAGAACCAGGTGTTAGATGCATGGCCCTGGAAGTTAATATGGAAGACCAAACTGCTGGATTGCCCTCAATGAGGCCTGCTTAACTCAAAACAACCTCAACAGAAGAGGTTTCCAGTTGGTCAACAGGTGTTATCTATGTCATCTATGTCTGAGAGATGCAGAAACTGTCAACCACCTGTTTTTGCATTGCCCTGTGGCTTTTGACCTTTGGAATATGTTCCTTTGCATTTTTGGCTTGATTCGGGTCATGCCACAGAATATGAAAGAGGCACACTTGAGCTGGAGTTTATGGAGAGTTGACAAGACCATCAAAAAAATCTGGTTGATGATCCCTGGTGCTATTTTTTGGTGTTTATGGAATGAAAGGAATAGAAGATGTTTTGATGGAATCTCAACTCCAAATCACACTCTCAAAGCTATTTGCCTACTCAATCTTTTTTGTTGGACTAAATTAGCTTCTGTAATTAGCACTGGACCAATGTTTGGATTTTGTTAGCTCCCTGGTCTTAGATTGACAATGTAAAGGGAGCTACAATTCTTATTCTTTTTTCTGCATTTCATTACTTTTGTAACTTGCATCTCCTTGATGCCTTTTGCTAATGAAACACCTTATTTCATCAAAAAAAAAAATACTTAACCATTCCGATTTACAGACCCTTTCTGGTTCCTTCCTTTTATCTCAAGAAAAACCAACACCCCTGCCTTAACCCAAATAAAATCTTTCCATACTCAATCCAACCCGAAGGGGAGCGGAGCAACGGTAAAGTTTTCTTCGTGTGAACTATAGGTCATTGATTCGAGTGGAATGTCTCGATGACCCAGTATTGACTTATTATATACAGGTTTTGGCTTTCCCATGATCACTAGACGGAAGTTTCCTGCCTTCCACAATGATTGAGTTACTGAATACTTGTAATACAAGTTCTTTCCTCGAACGATGGCTACGAACTAAGCAAATTGAATTGTCAAGGCTTTCAAACCAACACAGAGAAAGCTCAATCAATAAAGAGCATTTTAGTGGAATGGCTTAATGAAGTTACTTCCCGCACGAGGCAGTAAAGGAAGCTAGCGAACCTAGGTCAACACCAAGGTAGGGGCGAAAGGGAAAAGAACGATGTTTGATGTGAACGGAAGCAAGCATTTCCCTACAAAAGCAAAACAGGAAGCAGGGAATTCCCTTTTTCAAGGCCCCTAACCTAGTCCTGGTTTGGTTCTCCGGTGGAAAGATTTGAGATACCTTTTCCTAGATTAAATTTGATATATTAGCCCTCGGAAACAAGAAATTCTGGTCTGGGGGGATAATATCAACCACTTGACGCCCTTCTTATCTGGAATCCTGTCTAATTCACCAATTCAGGGTAAAATACTGATTTTTTGTATTTGAAAAAGATTTTCATTGGGATTTTTGAAGTAGATGGCGGTTAATAAAGAACTCTTTAAAGGGTAGGGTAGGTTACCTACATCACACGCACACCCCCTTGGGGTGCAACCCTTCCCCCGACGGATGTTTTATTCCACCGGGCTGCCCTTTAACCTCACCTCTAAAGACAACAAAGGTTCAGTCACTTCCTGTAAGAATTGTTTCCCAAGTCAAAGGCTCAGTAACCCCATATAGGAATTGTTTCCAGCAAAAACATAAATAATGTCACTGCTTCTTCCTAGCGGCCACCTTCAACTAATGGTTGACCCAAATTTTATCTTTGAAGCAGATCCATCCTACTCACTATTATTTTCTACCTTGCTAACTAATCCTAATAATCAAAGTAACAATCTAAAGCTGCTATAACGCAAATATGGTAGCTTTACCAACATGAAAGAATGATAGCAACAATTTTATTCAGTGCAGCTCCAAACGGATAAGGGACTTAAATTGAAAACCCAGTATGTAGAATATGTAACATTGTAAATTACCACAAAATCAAGGAACATAAGTAAAATTTATAGCACAAATACATGGCAATCAGTACTAATACATCTATTAAAAGCCAAAGATGGTAACTTCACCAATATGGAGTAATAGGAAGAAAAAAATTTGATATCAGTGGTGTCTGGGATAGCTTGCACGCAGCTCCACTATTCTATGGTGTCTGGGACAGCTTGCGTGTAGCTCCACTATTCTATTGGGTACATGCTACCGCCCACCAGCACGGGTATTGGGTAACTCTGCCCACAAGGCTTAGGTCGCGTGAAGGGCTTAAATTAAAAATAATACCGAATACGTAAATTACCACAAAATCTACTAACATAAATAGAAATTCAGAGCAAAAAACATAACAATGAGTACTAATAATACTAGTAAAAAAAAAAAAGATGGCAGCAGTTTGCCAACATGAAGGAATAATAGCAACAATTAACTCAGCAAAAAGGTCGGATCTTTAAGAAACTTAAGGCCAGCAAAAAACAGGAGACATAATAATACTGTATAGCAATGTCACAAACAGTAGACACTAAAAAAATAATATATTGTATTGAATCTGACTAGAGTGAAACAGATATGGAGTATTTAAATATAGAAATGCATACCTAAAATTGGACGAAATTGAAGCTGGAAAGCCGAGGATTGATGTTGGAGAAATTATACAGGAGGAAAAATAAAAGCAAGTACGAAATTAAAAAATCATATAATAATGGTGAATTTGGGCAGAAATTAAAGAAGTAATAACTTGGAAAATCAAGAGAAAATGGGGTAGATGGGATAAAGAAAGTGGCATAGAGTGAAGAAGAACAGAAAGAAGACATGTGTTAACGGAGTAAATCACGGGAAAAAAGGGAGCAGTAGTAGTTGAAATACGGTCCATTTTCGTACTTTTTTTATTTTTTAGTATTTGACATAAGTGTGGTCTATTTATTGAAAAATTATAATATGTTTCAAAACAATATATTCATGGCCTTGGGGATTCTATTTAAAAGATTATTCTTTCATAACTTGACCGTTTATACTTGTCCACTTCCGTACGCTTTCATGCACCGTTTTTGTTTTTGGGAAATTACCGGCTATGTCCATTTATAGTAGCTCATTACAAAAATTGGCCAATTGATAAAAATATTACTAATATTAGCCAATTAGCTATTTATAGCAAAAAAAATCAAACTTTTACTTTGTTTTGAGTGGGTATTATTAGAATAGATTGGGCACAACTTAAGTAGCTTCAGTTTTGGGATAATTTGGTGAAGTTTTGAGGTGGTTTGAATTGAAAATTCGATAAAAACTGAACATGAAAAAAATTATATGTGTATCATTTGTGTATCACATATGTATCACATATGTATCATATTTGTATCTATTGTGTATCACATGTATATCCATGTATATCTGTGTGTGAGATATATGCGTGATACATGTTTGATACATGTGTCGTAGAAGACTTTTTGAACTCGATTTAATTACGAATTTTGATACCAAACCAGTACAAATCACCTTCAATAATCCTCAAATTTTGTATATTGACTTATCTATATATTTTCAATGAATTTCAACTATACCCATTGAAAAAGTTCCTTTTTGTTTAGATTTTTGGAATATATTATATATTTTTTGTATTTCATCACCTTATTTGCTACCTCATCCATAAAATTTCCTTTCCGTCTTGTATCTAGTGCTGCTAATCACGCTTAAAAATATGGAAGGTAATTCTTGCATGTGATTCTTTGAGAGAAAGAACCCTATTATTTGGTTTTTCAATTTTTATTGGCTAATGTTGATAAGTCTATGATTAATGACTAGAGGTTGGTAAGTTGAGATTTATTTGGGACATTTGTGTAAGTTTCCTTTTTTTATTGACTTTAGTTCATCTATTATCTAATTAATCTATCTATTGTTATTACTTACTATTATTTTTACCGGTCTTAGTGTTACGCGTAAATCATGTCAATAAGTTAAAAAATATATAGTAAACATAACAATTTATTGGTGTGTATCCCATATTATTGGTTACATAAATTTATAAATTTATGTAAATATTATTAAAAAAATAAATTTGTGTTAAAAAATAAATATCAAAGAAAAGAGTGTAAACTCATAAAAATAATATATGTTATTTAAATTTAGCTAGCTTAATGCAGAAAGAAATTCTGCCGCACAGATCTCGGATGCCTTATTGTGGCATCATGATTTGCCTTCGATTACTGAAATCGTTTTTTTTTTTTGGTGGATCATTTTTGCATATATACTTGATATAAAGAAATTAGTGATAAAATTGTTGTAATAATCTATTCATCTTCTTTAAAATTATGTTTTTGAACGTGACGTAAAATTAGTATACGTCCTTATAGACATGTAAAAATTATTGAATTTAGTCCATACAATATTTGGATTAAATTTTAAAGGGATTTTTTCATTCCTATACACTATTTGAAACTTTATTACCCTTAATATTTATGTTTAGCTAATTATCCGGCATAAGCAAGTTTTGTTTACGAAATATATACAATTCACCTTAAAAGGCTCTCAATCCATTATTTGTGCCTTCAATCAAGAGATTTAGTTACACCTTTTCCTTTTTTCCTCTCCACTTTCCCATTTTCTCTCCAGATTCTCTCTTTCTCCCTTATAGCTGCTCTTAACGTTTCTGATTTCTCTAACACCACACTCTTTATTCCTTTTGATTTATACATATTCTTCTTCAGTAAACTACATTAAGTTTATGATAGTCATCTCAGTGGTACAAATTTCAAATGCAAAAATGAAGAGGTCAAACACATGAATTTTCTATGTATTTAATTTTTTTTGTATATTTTATATCTGATTTTTTAAACATACAACTTTCACACAATATGTCTTTTACAAATTTTGTATCTGATTTATACATAGTAAAAATAAATTTCACACAACTAATTATATATTATACAATTTATCTACAATTCATCTACAACGTATCTACAACTTTCACACATTATTTCTACCCAGTTAGATATAACTATAATAACATACAACTTAAATACAAATTTTATTTTAAAAAAACAATATGTATTTTGTATATTTTGTATCTGATTTATACATAGTAAAAATAAATTTTATACAACTAATTATATATTATACAACTTATCTGCAACTTATCTACAATTTTCATACATTATTTCTACTCAGTTATATACAACTACAATATCATACAACTTAAATATAATTTTAATACAATGTCGTTCAACTTTCATACAATAGTTAAATAAATAAAAGAAAAATATATAAATAACAGAATACAATTTTTCTATAATTTTACTACAATTTCATAAATATAATATATATCATGTCTTCTTCTTCTTCTTCTTCTTCTTCTTCTTCTTCTTCTTCTTCTTCTTCTTCTTCTTCTTCTTCTTCTTCTTCTTCTTCGAGTTTCAATCTGAAATTCAGTCAAAACCAAGTCTAATCTTCACCAAAACCCCTCAAAATTGAGATATAAACTCCAAACCATAAACCCAATTGTTTGCAATAACACCTAATCCAAACAAATAATGATTTTTAAAAACACAAATTCGAATTCAAAGCTTCAAAGCTTTTTAATGGTTGTCAATGGTGGAATTGTTCCTTTGCTTTACATTACTGAAATTAGGGATTGAGAGATAGAGAGACGTAGAGAGAATTCTCAATTCTTTGCAACAACATGCAATTCAAAAAAATAATATTTTTTGAAAACCCAAATTCGAATTCAAAGCTTCAAAGCTTTTTAATGGTTGTCAATAGTGGAATCGTGGGTGGGTGCAAGATACGTGGGGGAAGGGGATGGGATATGGAGAGAGAAACGTAGGGGAGTGGAAGATATGTTAGAGCAATTTTAGGACACTAATTATTATTAATTCCCTTAAAATGTACATAAATGGTATTGGGTATATAAAATATAATTATAGTAAAACTTGAGTAGGAAGGGTAATATAGTTTCATATAGTGTATAAGAATGTAAAAATCTCAATTTTAAATTATTTTGGATCGAATAATTAATTTGGACTTTGTAAATTAAATAAGTCCATTTTAATATTTTTAAGCCCAAGACCCATTTTATCCTAAGGCCCAGACTCATGCCATGTGTCAAGTGACATGGCATATCCGGTCAAACTCCAGGCCAATAAGGTGATGCCACGTGTTAAGTGATGTGGCAATTCTAATCCAAAATAATGACCAATCAAGAGTTGTCAAGTGTCTAAAATGACATATCTTGGCCAATCACAAGCAAGCTTATCACACAGCTTATGTGATAAGTTTGATGACTTACATGAGCCAATCAGAATCAAGCAAGAGAGTTCATATGTAGCTGGCTTGTCCATCCTCTACCACTATAAATAGAGGGGTTACATAACTCTCTGAGGACATTCAGAATTGGGGATGAGCATTCCGCAATCGATGAACACATCCACAAATAGAGAGATCAATTATCAAGTGCATAGTTCTTCAACAAAGGAATGATCAACGGAGTTCTTCTTGGGGATCAAGCATACCAACAAAGTGCTGCTCGACGTTCTTGGTGATTAAATACATACAAGGAGGTCTGTCACACCTCCTTTTTGCGCGCCCGCCCCGAAGGGTTAAATGCGCGAGGGTTTTTTTTTCCAATTTAAGTGACAATATTCGAAATGGGATTATTTATTTAATTCAGAGTCGCCACTTGGGAAAGGTTTGGCTTTTGGTGTCCCAAGTCACCGGTTTATCTTGAATCCCAAATCGAGGAAATTTTCGACTTTTCCAAATGAAGTCTG